GAGCTAAGACTCCATACACTAAATTGTCTATTACATGACTAAAAGGACACACATGTAACAAATGATCTATTTAAAATAGTACTTTATTGAATTGAATAAATTATAAATAATTATTCCATAAAGAGTAAAACAAAATACTATGTCTAAACCGCATGGTTAATAGTATATCCCAACAAGAGGGAGTATAGTGTATCCCTCAAAATTGTGATTGGTCGATATTAGGGGTGTCAAATGGGCGGGTTAAGCTAATTTTGGATGGGTCAAAATGGACCGAGTTAAAAAAAATGGGCGGGTCAGTGACCCGTCCAAAAGTTACTTGGACTGAGATGTGATTGATTAAGATGGGCTAATATTTGAGTCATAACTCAACCCGCCAAACTCTTACCAAGCTTTAATTAATGAGCATTAATTTATTATAAATTATTTAATTATCAAATAAGACTTTTTTTCTTTTATTACGGTTATTAAAACATACATCAAATAAAAAAATTATTTAAAGATATTTTAGCAAAGTTATTCATGGATCAATTTGGACTAAAAATTAGCCCAATTTTAGATAGGGTGAGATGGACTGGGTCAAAATGGGTTGAATCAACAAATAGACATGTCAATGATCGGCCAATCTTGGACGGATAAGGCAGTTAAATGAGTTTGGGCTCAAATTATCCCCGTAGTCGATATAACGTAAAAATATGTATTCAATAGTTATGTTACAGATCAGTGTTGTGAACCAATACATCAAGGTCATGTCATTACCTCATTATATCAAAACAATCTTTTCTCTGTTTTTTTTAATTATTCCAACCCTTCTTGCAATTCCATGCTTCCTGTGCTTGGTTTGTAAAATTTCCAGGCTAAATTTCTCTCTGTTTTCTTTCTCTCTTTGTGTATATTTTGGTATATCTTCAATTTATGATTATAGGTTGGAGGAAGGTAGTGTCTAGCTAAGGCATACAAAGATTACATTAGTTCTGGTAGCAATAAATTAGGTGTTCATGAAAGAAATTCAAAGTACACATGCTAAAATTGGGTATAAATATATCCCTATGAACTCCTCTCTTAATCTTCCATACAACTTAGCCACAAAAGTTTATAAAAATGGCTATATCATCAACATCAACTTCCTATTTTCTTATAGTCATAATTTTGATGTCAAGCAATAAGCTGATTTGCATCTCCCTTCCTCATAATCTTCTTTGTCCAACAGGGATTTCAAAGTATGCAATCCCAGTGTTTAGAGAAGACATTGATTTAATGCAATTTTCAGAGAATTTAGAGTTCTTAGAAGCGGAATATTACTTATGGGCTACACATGGTTATGGTCTTGATGTAGTAGCACCAGAACTTGTCATGGGTGGGCCTCCTCCCATTGGTGTACGCAAAGCAAATCTTCATCCTTTTGCTAAGACCATCGTCTCTGAGTTTGCCATGCAAGAAGTTGGCCATCTCAGGTTCATTCTTTTCCAATGTTTAGCTTATAAACGTGTAAAAGAATTTTTATTATTATTACATCACTTAAAAGATAATTACGATAATCGTTCGTAAAAAGAAATTGTAAGTAATTTGAAAAATTAGGCAGATTACCTGCTACAATATATTACTCCCTCCGTTCACTTTTACTTGTTCACAATGGACTTTGCACGCCCCTTAAAAATTATAGACGATGTGTACATTTTACCATAGTACCTATAATAATGATAGTATTTTGAGAAGTCATGGAAAATGATTGGTGAAATGAGTAATTATTAACGAGAGTAAAATAGGGAAAAAAAATATGGTCTTCTCTTGATTTGCTAAAATTGACGAGTAAAAGCGAAAATATATTTTTAGTATAGTGGACAAGTAAAAGTGAATGGAGGGACTAGAATATACTGATATTTATAGTATAACATTAACTTCTTTATATTATCACTGTTTATAAGTTAAACTCTTCCATAGACTCCTTTTCTCCCTCTTTTAAGATTTTGAGGTGCAATAATTCTTTTTTTTCTTCGTTTGGGCGATTTTGTAGGGCACTTAAATCGAAAGTAGGTCCCGGTTTTCCAAGACCATTGATGGATCTAAGTGCTAAAAACTTCGCTAAGCTATTTGATGAAGCATTTGGTTACAAACTGGAACCCCCATTTGATCCTTATAGAGATAGTCTCAATTTCATGTTGTCTTGCTATGCACTTCCATATGCTGCATTGGTTGGCTATGTTGGTACAAATTCCCATATCAAAGGCTATGAAACAAAAAGGGTAAGTCCAATATATAAGAGAGAAAATCAGAAATAGCAGGATTTACGACTGGTAATTGAAAAATAGTCATAATTTGAAAAGTAATTAAAATTTAGCCACTTTTTCATATAAAGATAAAATCTGAACAAAAACATCCTTAAAATTCCAGCATAATATGCTAGAGTTCAAATTTTTTACATATGAAATTCCAGCATAATTTGTCGGAATTTCATAATGTGCTGGAGTTCCAACATAATAAAGTCAAACCTCTCTATAACAGCCTCGTTTGTTCAGAATATTTTTGGATGTTATAGTCTGTTATAGAAAACATATATAATAATAGAACATGAGATTTTGTTCCGAAAAAATTTGGCTTTTATAGAGAAGTGTTGTTATATAAGAATGCTATTATAGAGAGGTATGACTGTATGTTGGAAGTTTATACGCAGAAGCTCCAAAATCCAGCATATGTTTTTCAATGACTTTGTAAAAATTGGCTATTTTGTTAGATTACCAGTTCGAAAACTGACTGGCCCCGGCTATTTTCACTGTGTATAAAGCTAAATATTTAATGGCCATATTTTGAATTGTGTCATTATGCAGCTTTTGGCAGGACTGCTAGGGGTTGAATCAGGGCAAGATGCAATTATCAGAATGTATCTTTACGAGAGAGCTGGCAAAGTAGTATACCCATACAAACACACTGTGGCTGAGTTCACAATCCACATATCCAATTTAAGAAACAGATTAGCAATGTGTGGAACTAAAGATGAAGGCTTATTTGTGCCATGGCAACTCGGTGCAGAGAATCGGACAAGAACTAATATATTATCAGCCGATTGCGATTCACTGTCTCAGTGGAGGAGTCCGGCGGAGATTCTTAGGATAGTGTATAACACTGGGAATGAGCATATTTGTGGTGGATTCTTTCCTCATGGTGCTAATGGCAACATTGCTAGAAATTTGTTAAAACTATAGTAATGGCAGTGACTACGTTCAGGAAAATTAATTTACATGCATTTGCTATTTGTAATATCAAAAAAAAAAAAAAAAAAAAAAAAAAAAAAAGAGTTCATGTCAGATTTTCTTACCGTCAGTATATGAAGTTGGGTTCCAGCAGTCAAAACACGTTACGTTGGTGTAAAGAAATGGATTTTAACATCAGTATATAATAAAAACTAACTCCGCTGTCCTACCAAGCCTAAATTCAGCTTGCTCAGGAATGTATTCCTACAGTTCATCATATAAAATTTGTGGGTCGCAATAAAATGGGTCTTGGTCCAATGGCAGCTCTATTAAGTATTTAATAGTAGTAAATAAAATGGCAAATCAGCAATACGGTGCCTGAAAGTTAAGCTTTCGAATTATTTTATTGGGGAAAGGGCCAAATATATGCCTCTACTTTGATATACTGTTCACATTTACCTTTCTGCATATTATCGGGTCAAATCTACCCTCACCGTTAACAAAGTTTTTAAATTTACCCTCCAACCTAACGGAAAGCCCCAAATCCCTTCTATTTACGGCAATTCTTCCTCACATATCAGTCATCTCCTTCGTGTGATCCACCAGAGAAGAAAAAAGGTCCATATTATAGAAATGAGAGTGTGGAGTTACAACACAATTATTCCTCTTATCTTAGGTTATGCTCAAACCATAAATGAAATGCAGAATTCACAGTTTATGGGTATGTCTCCAACGGAGTGAGGATGAGTGAAATACCATAGATAATTTGGAAGAGATTTATTTTATTTTTCAGGTGGTCGAAATCATTCGCTTATGAAGTTGTTACTAATATTTACTATTTTTTATGGATTACACGCATAACAAGGCCGTAGGTATCCATGTGATCACGCCCAACTCTAGTCCTAAAAATGATAAGTGGTCGCTGCAAATATAATACGGTCTACAAGTCCAGAGTCGAATCCCACAGAGAACTAAGGCTTAGTTATATCTGTTCAATATCACTAAGAAGACAAGTTTGAACAATTTCCTAAATTATAAAGATTGAGATTTATATTTCTAACTAATTAACCAACAAATACTATAAAACGGTAAAATTATCAACTAACGAGACAAAGGTTTGGAGACTAAATTATGGAGGTCTAGAGTTATGATTTCCCCAATTGTTGATTTCATTAGTTGTATGCTTCTTATAGCTTTGACTTAGTTGCATCTATCAAATCATGAACTCTCCAGCTATCATAAATCTCTCTCAAGCAATTATGATAATTTACTAGACGCACTCTCTCAAGCTACGCTAGCTAGATTCACATTACAGTTCACTTAGATCGCACCCGAGGTATCGTTATCTCTAATCCGACCTCTAAACCCTCGGTTATGACTCTCGCCTATACTCCGGGAGTGATGTTGTTCAAACAACTACCTAAATATGCACTCTCTCTCAAGCAGATACATAATAAATAGGAACGGCTAATTGAGGATCCTTTCAATTAACCACAATCAAAACGTAGTTGAACAAATAGAGATAAACAACCAATTCAAAACTATATTAATATAACAACCAATTCATCCCCAAAAGGTTCCATCAAAATCCTAGAAAACGAATTAGCTATTCATAATAGTATGTAAAACTACAATACTAAAAATCATAACCAACAACAAAAATAGGAAGAGGAAGGAAAAACTCGTAGAAGAATTCTCCGCCTTGCTCCCAATGTGTTCTTGCCTCCTTAGGTCTAAGATATGTCTCCTTAGCCTCCTCAGGTCCAAATTATGTCAAAAGTATGTCCTCCTCCCTTCAAAATAGGTTTAGGACCCCTTTTATACAAGTTGGAATAGTGTAGGGCCGAAATAACCTTGTCCCGGACGAAATAGGACTTCTTTTTTATGCCTGGAGCGGCGCGGCCGCGGCCAAAACGCGGTAGGACCGCGGCCAGACAAGCTCTCTGATTTTCTGCCGCGGTCAGTTCCGCGGTCGCGGTTTCGACCGCATTTTTTACCCTGTTTTGTTCAGAATTTGGAAAACTGTAAAACATGAAAGTTGTAGCCATTTGAATTAGCTTTCCAACCATATATTACATAGCCCAAATGGAGTTCTGAGCAAAAAGTTATGTGCATTTTACTAGACAGTGCGCAATATGCCTACTCGAGTCTTCGTTTTGTTGTTTTATCATCCGTTGATCCCCGAATACGATCCCGGCTTAATTCCTTGGGCTTTTACTCAGACTTCAAAGCTCCAAATCACTTGAATTCATTCCATAACATCTATATATCGCGGAATCACTCCTACAAGGCATAAAATACACCGTTAGTGCAAAACACTAGCGATTAAAGCGCAAACTCAATTAAAGTGCAGTAAATTAGAATGTAATAAGCGACTAAAATACGTAATTATAGCCTATCATCACCATGTAAATACATTCCCTTTCGGATTTCGATTTAGCATGTCATTTGATGCAAATTTAGCTTGCGCAAGCACTTCTACATGAAATTTGTGACATATGATTCTTTAGTATTCTTCGAGAAATCCTAAATCAAAAGATCTGTTTAAATTTATGTGCAGCTTCACAACATTCTCTCAAAGGAATATTTACTAGTGTTCTCATGCCTGGAGGTGGCAAGTTTGTTATGTCTTCCTGCTCTAAATAATCAAGTGGAAAAAGAAATCAACTTGTCGAGGATATTTTCTTATTTGGTAGAGCACACGTAAGGATAAGTAATTTGTGAGAAAAAATTGTAGTAAATAGAAGGAATTTGGAATTTGGGGGCTCTCCGTTAGATTAGAGGGCAAATTTGAAAAATTTGCTAACGGTGAGGGTAGATTTGACCTGATAGTATAACGGAAGATAAATGTGAACACTATATCAAAATAGAGGATTATATTTGGCCTTTTCCCCTATTTTATTTGCTAAGAGACAAACATTAGTTAGATGATTTTATTTGTGATAATAAATAGAAAACTTATGCGATTTTAGTAAGTAATTTCATCAATCTGTGACCAATTAAGAAATTAACTCCAAGTTGATGTGCACTTTAATAGTTTGATTATTTAGCTTCTGGCCTTATTCTGGCTCCAAAGTTGTGATGACTTACTAATTTACCTTGAGTATTTATTTATAATATTTTTTCGTAAAAAATTAAATAGATAAAAAGATTAAGCCCACCAAAAATTAATATATTAAATTAAAATTAGCTTTCAGTAGTACTGACAAATCCAAATATTCAAACCACCAATAGAGTAACTCTCACCTATAAACTAAAATTAGCTTTCAATCATCTTGGATTGTATTTTAGGAGTAATAAAGTCCAATACTGTTAGCTTTGTGATAAATTGGTAATTCCCTTAGATTCCAGTAGATCTAAATGAGTAAATATTTAATTGCATCAATTGAAATTGAATTATGTGAACTGAATTTCAAACTAAATTTGAGTTTGAGCTAAAATTGTTTTTTTAGAAAATTATCACATTATTAAACTTTGAGAATTGAGATAAACAATATATCAACAAGTTTGAAGTTAGATTAATCTAGTCAAAGATACCACACATGTTAAGTTGAGTGATAAATATTTCTTCATTATTAATAACACATTTTCACAAATTTGAATTAGTTGTACTAGATATATAGACTGTTTGGCCAAGCTTCTCCATCCAAGAAATATTTTTTTTCTTCAAAAAAAGTGTTTTTTCAAAGTTGATGTATTTGGCCAAGCTTTTGGAAGAAAAAAAGTGCTTTCGGAGAGAAGCAAAAATAGTTTTGGAAGCAGAAAAAAGTATCGTCTCTCCAAAAGCACTTTTTGAAAAGCACTTTTGAGAAAAATACACGTAGAAGCAGTTTTTAAAAGTTTGGCCAAACATTAATGGCTACTCATAAGTATTTTTTAAATTAACTAATTTCTCGGCACGTGCGTTGCACGTGTGTATCGAGCTCATTAACACACATTATTGTGAATGAATATTAAAATTATTAAAGTAAATTTTTTAGCATATAAGCATACATGAAAGAATATAGTATAACTTTTTGTGAGTGATCATTGGGGATCATTGTCAATTGAATATTCCTCCGAGCCTACAAAGATGAAAAATAAAGGTCAATTAGATACGTGTTATTTGCATATTTATTTATGAATTTGAGGTTAAAAATTTGTAATTAAGTGGATCTCACCTAATACTTCCTTATAGACGATATTCTTCGTGTATGTTCCTTCTATCCGTTTTAGTTGTTCTAACATAATCAAGACTCTTGTTGTTGATATTGATATCCCTTTTGAAAATGCAATATAAAGTTGTCCATTTGAGAAAACATGTTTAATTAGCCAAACACAAATTGCTTCTCACCAAAAGTACTTTTAAGAAAGAAAAAAAAGCCGGTGCACTAAACTTCCGCTATGCGCAGGATTCGAGGAAAGGCCGGACCATAAGGGTATATGGTATGCCGCCTTACCCGATATTTGGCGATAGACTTTTGAAAAAAATACTTTTTGATTTTTGTGGCTTGGCCAAAAGAAAACTAGTCCTCTATGTCAAAATAGAGCTATTACGTTTAGTACAAAGTACGACAGCGGAGAAAGTGCGGAAAAGAGAGCACCTCCACATATACAGAGAGGGAATGGTGACAATTGCGAGACAATGAACTCACAGCGGCATTTCGTCAAACACTTGATACACAGGACGAAAATCCGCCCTTTGCTCTCCATTGCTATCTCATTACATCTCAGAGTACGCCTCCCATTCTCTTCATCGGCAACGCCTGCCCCTACGCCAATCCTAACTGATCGAAAGAAAAGCCTCTACACCTCGTTTTTCTGCACACTTGTCCATCTCTTCCTCCGCTGCCACCGCCTGTCAAGAGCCATGGAAGCTTTCTCTTCAATGAGAAATTACAACCTTGTCCCGGAACTTCCTTCTTGGAACAGTCTCTTGCACCATTTCAATTCTGCTGGTCTGGTTGATCAGGTGATGGTCCTTTATTCTGATATGCTCTCCTGTGGAGTGGCTCCCAATGTAGTCACTCGCAATATAGTCATACATTCGCTTTGCAAAACTGGAAAACTTGAAAAAGCCCTTGAATTACTCAGAGAGAACGAAAGTGACACCGTTACTTATAACACTTTGATATGGGGGTTCTGCAGAATTGGTTTTGTGGAAATGGGTTTTGGATTGGTGTCTGATATGGTAAAGAAAGGTATTTTCTTTGACACTATCACTTGTAATGTATTAATTAAGGGGTTTTGTGATAAGGGTCTTTTGCATAATGCTGAATTAGTGATGGAAATGTTGAGTGATAAAAATAGGGTTGTCTGTAAAGATGTTGTCGGTTTTAATACTCTGATTCATGGATATTGTAATGCTGTTGAGATGAGTGGTGGTTTTGAGGTGATGGAGAGGATGAAAAAAGAAGGTTTATCACCGGATATTGTGACATATAATACTCTGATTGATGGTTTCGGTACAATGGGAGATTTTGATGCAACGGCAAAATGTATCATGGATGAACTCTTGGACTCACGTGGAAGTAATTATGTTAGTGATGTTGATCATGAAGAAAAACATGATTATGATGGTGAAGTAAAGGGCCTGGTAGTTGGAGACTTGGGTTTAGAACCAAATGTTATTACATATACCACATTGATTAGTAAATATGTTAAGTGGTTTCAATTTGAGAAAGCATTTGCTACATATGAAGAAATGACAAGGCGTGGCTTCTTCCCAGACATTGTTACTTATAATTCCCTTATATATGGCCTTTGTAAATGTGGGCGGCTGCACGAGGCCAAGTTACTTCTTGATGAGATGAGAAGAGTGGGTGTGGATCCTAATCACGTGACATACTCTATTTTTATTGATCACATGTACAAAAATAGGTCTGACAAAGTTGCTGCTAACTTTCAAAGTCAAATAGTGATTAGAGGAGTGCCTTTCGATGTTGTCTTGTTTACCTCTTTGATGGATGGGCTTTTTAGAGTTGGAAAAGCCAAGGAGGCAAAGGACATGTTTCAGACACTCTTGAAGTTTAACATAACTCCAAATCATATTACTTATACTGCTTTAATTGATGGGCACTGCAAATCTGGTGACTTGAAGAGTGCAGAGCTGTTACTGCAACTAATGGAACAGAAACGTGTTTTACCAAATGTTGTCACATTTTCTTCTGTAATTAATGGTTATGCCAAAAGTGGAATGATTGATGCAGCCATGGAAATAATGAGGAGAATGGTAAGCAGAAATGTAAACCCTAATGTTTTCACATACAATGCCTTGATTGATGGCTGCTTTAAGCTTGATAAACATGATATGGCTCTTGCCCTGTATGAGGAAATGCAGTCGAATGGTGTTGAGGAAAATGAATTCTTGTTAGATACATTTGTGAATAATTTGAAAAAACAGGGTAAAATGGATGAAGCAGAAGCATTTTTTATGGATATGATATCTAAGGGTTTGTCACCCGATCATGTTAATTACACATCGTTGATGGATGGACTCTTTAAAAGAGGGAAGGAATCAGCTGCTCTTCAATTGGTCCAAGAGATGAAAGAGAAAAAAATATCCTTTGATACAATTGCGTGCAATGTACTGCTTAATGGATTATTGGGAATTGGCCAGTATGAGGTACAGTCTGTTTATAATGAAATTACAAAATTTGGTCTAGTTCCAGATATTCAGACTTTCAATTCTATGATTAATGCTTACTGCAAAGAGGGGAAGTTGGAAAGTGCTGTCAAACTTTGGGGTGAAATGAAGAGCTGCGGGATTATTCCTAATTCAATCACGTGTAATACATTGGTGAAAGGACTTTGTGAAGTAGGTGATATTGGAAAAGCAATGGATTTGTTGAGTGAAATGGTGACAATTGGTTTTCAACCTTCACCAACTATTCACAAAATTGTTCTTGATGCTGCCTCAGGCCATAGAAAGGCGGATATAATCCTGAGAATGCATGAGAGGCTTGTCAGCATGGGACTTAAGGTTGATCAGACAATTTATAACACCCTTATTGATGTTTTATGCAGGCTAGGGATGACCAGAAAGGCAATGTCAGTACAAGAAAGCATGAGAGAAAAAGGACTTTCAGCTGACACTACCACTTATAATGCCTTCATACGTGGATATTGCAAAAGTTACCAATTTCAAAAAGTTTTTGCAACATATTCTGAGATGCTGGCTAAAGGAGTTCCTCCTAATGTTGCTACATACAACACTATATTAGCATCTCTGTCAGCTGTTGGACAGATGAATGAAGCAACTGAATTGCTGAATGAAATGAAGGGGAGGGGCTTTGTCCCTAATGCTAATACATATGACATTTTGGTCTCTGGCCATGGGAAAATTGGAAATAAAAAGGAATCCATCAAACTTTATTGTGAGATGATTACAAAAGGTTTTGTTCCTCGCACTAGTACCTTTAATGTACTCATCTTTGACTTTGCAAAGGTGGGAAAGATGAGACAGGCTCAGGAACTAATGCATGAGATGCAAGTCAGAGGGGTTATACCAAATTCTTCAACATATGACATACTAATAGTTGGATGGTGCAAGCTATCAAAAAGTGTGGAGCTTGAAAGGTCATTAAAACTGTCATGCCGGGGTGAGGTAAGGAAATTACTTGAAGAGATGAAAGATAAAGGTTTCACTCCAAAAGAAACCACCCTTTGTTATATCAATCCTGCCTTTTCGAAATCAGGAGAAAACAATGACACAGAATGGTGGTTGAGCAGATGGCACAAGACGAAGCAGAGTTGATCCCTTGAAAATCAAGATGTTTCTCAAGGATAGAATTTCCTTATTTTTTGGTTTCTCTCTCCTGAGTTGAAACATAAGGTTAAGTGATGTGGATGAGAAAAGCGAGCTGGTGAAGAGACAAAGCAAAGGACCAGGAGAAAGAAAAATGAGAAATCAGGACAACTGTATATGCTTTTCAAGAATTTTTGTGAGTTTTTCTTTCCCAGCGCTCATGTGTGCGTGTTTTCCATCTCATGGTCTTCTATTTCCATTGTATAGGAAGTCAAATTGTTTTATATTCATTAGAATTAAGCTTTTCCGCTAATGCAATCTAACTACAATGATTTATGTTTAGACCAATAATTTACAAACTATACGAGTATACCATCAATCCTAAATCATGTAGATGGTAAATAGAAGTCTTTCAAATTTTATAATAGAATTACAAAAGATATTTATCAGTGTAGAATTCTCTTTTTCAATTTCCACACAACTTTGTGGCAACCTACAGCAGAAAATATGACTGTTAATTGGAGACTAAGGGGGTAATTTGGTATATGTGCTTTGGCAAAATAGTGCTAACAATGACAACAATTATGCCTCAATCCTAAAGGACCAAACTAATCCGGTCAACTATGTGCATTAACCTTTTTACTTTAGCTGGCATATTAATATGCTTGTGTAAAGTCCATCTGCTCTTGTAAAAGGAAGAAAAAAAAACTTGACATTGTTTTTCTAAAGGTAGAACCAACATGATGAGCTTGAAGCAAAGTTTCTCGAGAAGGCTGCATTTGAAGCTAAATACCAGAAGCTGTATGAACCGTTGAATACAGAGGTGAGAAGAAGAATTTTTTTAGTTCTTTGTTCCATGTCTGCTTGTTGGAGTTGAAACTAGCTCTTTTCCTTCCAAAAAGACAAAAAGATATATGGTTTGGCTGTCCTTCCATGTTTTATGATTTTGTGGATGTGTTGCACAGATATGAAATAGTAAATGGAGTTGTCAAAGTGTAGGGTCTTAATGAAGCTCCCATGAACAACCAGGTGGGAATAGAAAGACTGAAAATGATTAAATTTAGTTATTGGATAGTTTCTTTCATCCATGCAGATTGATGGATACGCTTTGATTTTGTCATTAGTGCGAAAATTTAGTGCGGAGAAAGGTGTTCTCAACTTCTGGCTGACTGCAATAAGGAATAATGAGATAGTAGCACAGGAGGTAGATAACAATTCATGTAAATATTTTGTTGTTCAAAGTACCTATCATTTAACTGAGTGCAAATGACTTTGCTTTAGATCTTACAGTGTGACGAAGAAGCTTTGAATTGCCTCAAGATATCAAGTGGTGCAGTATTGATGATCGAAAGGGTTTTAAGCTTCACATCCTCTTGATACAAAACCTTTTCTCGAGAATTCTGTCTTGACTAAAACCTATCACATGATTGATGATGATGATGAGCATATATTGAAGAAGGTCATAGGGTAGGTTTTAACTTCTCAATGTTCCAGGGGAACGGGGAGATCGACGAAGATGTCACGCACCGTATATGAGCAAGTTGGATGAAATAGAGGTTAGCATGTGGCGTTTTGTGTGACAAGAAGGTGCCCCCGGAACTTAAAGGCAGGTTCTACAGTGCGGTGGTTAGACCGGCCATGTTGTATGGGTCAGAATGTTGGCCAGTTAAGATTGCCCATATTCAGAAGATGAAAGTAGCAGAATGAAGATGTTGAGATGGATGTGCGGGCACACGAGGTTGGATAAGATTAGGAATGAAGATATTCGAGCAAGGGTGGGCGTGGCTCCCATGGAAGACAAAATGCGGGAAGTGAGGCTTAGATGGTTCGGGCACGTGCAGAGGAGAAGCCTAGATGCCCCGGTTAGGAGGTGCAAGCGGTTGGCTCTGACGGGTATGAGGAGAGGCAGAGGGCGGCCAAAGAAGTATTGGGGAGAGGTGATCAGGCAGGACATGACGCAACTTTAGCAACTTCAGCTCACCGAGGACATGGCCCTTGATAGGAAGGTATGGAGGGAGAGCATTAGGGTTGAAGGTTAGTAGGTAGTTGAGCGTTTTTCTACTCCCGTTCTGTGTGTAAGTCTAGTCGGTCAGTGTCGTGTTTTAGTATGCCAGTGGTACATGTTGTGCTCGTACTATTTGTTTCAGTATGCCAGTGGTACATGTTGTGCTCGTACTATTTTCTAGGACCTTGTCACTGCACTGTTTATTGATATTGCTTATTGATACTGCTTTTTCAGGTATATTTTTTGACTCTTGGCTCGCTGGTACTATCTTTCTGATTATGTTGTTGTTACTATTCTATTGCCGCATTTCATCTTCTTGTGCCGAGGGTCTATTCGGAAACAACTTCTGTACCACCAGAGTAGGGGTAAGGTCTGCGTACACACTACCCTCCCTAGACCCCACTTGTGGGACTATACTGTGTTGTTGTGTAATGTTTTAATTTATATCATGTGATCCTATTCTTGTTTGTTCATTGGATGTGGGAATCTTGTAGGACCGCCATTTGAATGGCATCCACGCAGAGGCTTGACACGAGATCCTAAAAGGAAGCCAAGTGGGTCAAAAAGTAATAAACCCATAATCAGGACTGATACCTTCAAAAGCTTTTCCAATATCTTTAGTCCGCCACAAGTAGCCGAAGATGAGGATGACAACGATGAAAAATGTTGTAGGTTCAACAATTTTGATTTTCTTCATTTACTCTGTGATGCAGAATGTTCTTGACCTGATTTCATTAGTGTGTCAAATATGTCTTGACAGGCTGAAGATCTCCGGAATCTAATGGGAGAAGATCACGGCATTGGAGAAATTGCTGGTTTCTTATTAGCTTTATTTCCATTTCAGTCCACATGTCATTCAAACTGGTCAACAACTTCCACGTGTTCGATGAGTTATATGGTACAATCCTTAGGAAGTGGATTTGCAACGGAGTGAATTTAATATTTCCATTTGGCCCTCCAATTTTGCAACTCAACAATTGCGGCCAAAATCATCCTCCGTGTTGTGTCATGGTTTATGGTGAGGCTCTTGCAGGGGATGAATTTGAAGATATTGAAGAGGATGATGACTATTATGAGGATGAAGAAGGGGAGGAGCAAAAAATATGTACTATTAGATCGGCATGTTTCTACAAATGTTCAAAATCTTTGAATTTTGCCTTATTAATTTTCTCTTTTTGGAGATCCTGATAGTTTTTTGGGTCTGTCCATACGATGTTCTTGAGTGGTCCTTTTAGTCATCAGCACCAAAGGTGAGATGAATGGGTTTGGTGGCATTTTTCTTAGGTGATGCCATAAATTGCCTTTCATTTTCTTTAGTATGTGACATTTTTATTCAACAAAATTGTAGAAGAGTGCCATAGCACGAGTTAGAGAAGGAAGGTCAGCATGGAGAATGCCTTCCAGAGGTGCAAGCAACAGTAGTTTGTCTTTTGCCCATGACAGCTGATGAAAGAAATGGATTTATGGTATGCGCTAATTACCTTAAAAGGTGCATTTTTTGAAAAGATTATTGATATTTCTTGAAAATATGGTAAAGTTGAGTGGTTCCACCTAGGGTTTAGTTTGTCAATGAATTGAGCTGAAATTTATGTCATACAATTCGCAGTATAGCATGATCCCAGAACAATGCTTACATGACAGGATGTCATTCAGCTATTTATTAAATTACTAGAAATGAGAATATTTCTAGAACAATATGATATGACAGTTAAAATATTCAATTGCATATAGAACATATTGATTGAATTATAAAGTGTAACTATTCAATTTCTCCATATTTCTAGGCCTATTGTTTATAGCAACGTAGAGAATGTTAGTTAATGTATTGGCTATGAAAGAAAGAAAATTTTATTTCTCTAAGGGTATTATAGTCACTCCGTATTTAATGGGTAATTTCGTAATTTAAGTTTGACTTTGGAGGTTGTATGATTACTTCTCTAAGGTCTAAGGAGCAGAGGCGGTCCTTAGCTATGGGTAGAGGGGTCACCGGCACCCGTAAAGTTCGGCAAAAATTTCTATGTATTCATGTATATGTAATTAGAAAATAGTGATATATTAGTAGTGGGCACCCTATAGACAAAACAGATTTTGATTAAATCAAAAATGCATCCATGTCCTTCAAATCCCGAGTCCGCCTCTGGAGCACCTATTTCATTCTTAGACCTTAGCCTATATGAACTTCTAATTTTAATGTGTTTATAGGTTTGGTAAAGGAATTTGGTGTCCTCTAGGAATCTAGAAATGAGGTAACTGGAAATATAGAAGTACAATATTAATAACTCATTGGATGAGGAAAAGGTCCTATTTTGGAAGACAGCTAAATTAGTTCTAAATATTCGTTAAAGTCTAAACCTTTATTAGTTAGAGGTTCTCAATTAATTTTCTTTTCTTTTTTTGCGACTTGGAGTACTTTTATGTTTAGTTTCATTTTTATATTATTATATCGTTCTACAAAATAGTTCAACCAACATAGCATTATCAAAGTTGGAGGAAGGAATCAAGTTACCAAAATGACTTATTAAAGTTCTATGGTTATTTTTAATCTGGTGGGTATTCCCTTTGATAAAAGTCAGATGTTAATTACTTTTATGATTAAAATACTTATGTTGGTGCAATTTTTAATAATAATTTAATTGAACATACAGCTGGCTTTGGCCTTTGTTTAGGAACGCGCACACACCGACCCATCCTGTGATCTGTTATGGGACCCCACACCCATTATATGTATTTGGGCACAGAACGGATACTTCAGATAACGTTTCATTCTCCATTTAACGCCGTTAATTTTCTCGCATACTTTCAATATTTTCATTTTCGTAATACACGCTCTTTTTTTTTTTAAAACTCAATAAAGTTTTCTAATGGTCTTTTCGAGACTGAGACTTCTTTACCGTTGCCTTATTTGAAAATTGTTATCTTGGCGCCAGTGCCAAAGCGTCTGGCTCCTTTTTATCTAAAACATTTAACACTATTTTTTGGTTTTTCCACACTACCGATTATGCATATTGTTATAGTATTCTTTAACTTGATATGTGTGTTGCTCAAAAATTTTCTCCATACATATTTATACTAAAACTAAAAGATGGACCTATTAAACATCTGAATGAGTAATAAAAAGTGAACCTCATACGGCCATACACTATGTATGATTATGACCACCTTAAAATTGGTTGTGCGTAACACGCATTTTGACACGTGTCCGGCATTTGATATATAGTTAAAAAGAAAAGTACCTAAAAATAAAATTACATCCTTACAGTTGATTTTGGTTGGGTGGAGTTTTAATGCATTGTTAATTTATTGATTTTTTTGGGCGAAGCTTTCAACCGTTTTTTACCCTCATTTAATCTCCTTGAGTATAATTTGTTTAATTGTTTGTCTAAAACTTTCATTTCTAAAACCATATAACGAGTATTACGTGTTATCTTACATTGATAATTATATAATAATCAACGAGAATTCCATTTTACAAGGTAAGGATAAACATGATACGAAAGAATAACAACCAATGTATTTGTTGCCAAATTTTACCGGAGGGAAAAGGTAAGGCAACTTTTAACATTTTCTCCATGCAATTTTATATTATAAAACAAAGTAGCGTTGCAGTGAAGTTTTATTTTGAACAAAATCAAATTTAGGAATGATTTTATTCGGAAGAATACTATATTACTAATGGGGTTTGAACCTTTTGTATAAGGTAAAATATGTTCCTATTGAATGATTGTGTGAGTAAGCGATACGTGGAGCCGAAGACAGAAAACCGTCAGAACCGTAGGCAGTGATCTCATTTGCTACCGGAGAGAACAATATTCATAAAGGCGAAATAAATGACTGTCACCCGGTAGCATTCAAGGAAGAATATTCTATAGCATTGAGTGCACGATCCGTTACAGAGAAATATGGCATTCACTGCCTTCCGTTACATATTCTTCAATGGCATTCATAATTGTTATTTAAGAGGGGCTTGATCCTGGGACCTTGTTCCCTAGGTACAACTATAAGTAGTAGTGAGCTCCACCATCATTATAAGCGACACAAATTTTCTGAAAAACTCATACTATAATCAATCCAAAGCTCTATATTTATATTCTTATTACTTGATTCGATCATTGTTGTGCCCGGAAGTCTTGCTCTCGGAATCGCTATTTTTGTTATTTTATCTTCATTCCAAGACTAAGTATTGCATTTTTTCAATCATTTTATTATTTAAGGATCGAATTAATTCACTTGCCTAGAAATCACGCAGAAATTCAACTGTGCCATTTTACGGATAAACAGTTTGTCGCCCACCGTGGGGCCTAAACAACCATGTAATTAAATTGATCCTCGTCTCTTTTACTAACGTGTTCTTATTATTTATCTCAGCAAAAAATCACAAAAGATGGTAGACAATGGTGTTAACAACACGTACAATCCTGAGGTTCAAGGAGACCAACCTCATCAGGAGAATTCAGTCAGTGACACCCACAATGAGGGAAACGACGCTTCGCCGGTCCACGATATACGGTATCCACGACATGTTTGGCAGGCGACTCCCGATGATGCGGAAGAGGAGCATGTTGTTGATGCAGTGAGGGTCTTACAAGAGCAACAAACAATCATTCTAGGCCACCTCACACATAGGATCAGGTTATGACGAAGTTGAAACAAGCGTTGCCGGGGGCTGCTAATAATACGAATAGGCGAGATCTAGTTCCTCCCGGCACTCCCACAAATCAAACAACGCTGAGGGTTGACAACAACACCCCGAGGGGCGGGGCCAGTTTCGATGGAGCTGGGGGAGCGGATCCAGCCCCAATAACAAAACTGATCCTTTCAAGAATGAGATCCTACGGTTTATGAGAGAAGTGAATGCCCGCATGGACCAAATCCCAGGCGCGTCACGTTGCTAAAAGGTCCAGACTCAAAAAAGTATACTCAGTTTCCGTACAAGCCAACCGCGACACCTGAATTAACCCCGAAGCGGATTAAAATGCTCGACGTGCCAAAGTACGATGGAACTTCAGATCCTCAGGAGCATGTTACCACCTATACAACAGCGGTGAAGGGGAATGAATTAGCTCCTCATGAGATTGAATCTTCTTTGCTAAAGAAATTTGGATAGACCCTCACGAGGGGGGCTTTGACGTGGTATTCGCTGTTAACCGAGCACTCCATAGATTCCTTTGAGATGCTTGCAGATTCTTTTATTAAGGCTCATGCCAGGGCCAGAAAGGTGCAGGCTCGAAAGGCCGACATCTTCATAATTGCACAAGGAGATTCCGAGTTGCTGCGGGAGTTTGTTACCCGGTTCAAAAAGGAAGGGATGGTTCTTCTAGCTGTTCTGGATGAATGGGCGGTTGAAGCATTCACCAAGGGTTTGAATCCGAGAAGTTCAGATGCTTCCCGAAAACTAAAGGAAAGCCTGCTTGAGTTCCACGTGAAGACCTGGGCGGATGTTCACAACCAATACGAATCTAAGATAAGAATTGAAGATAATCAGGTTGGCTTCCCGGCGTCGGTAAAAGGTCGAGAGAAGAATAAAGAAAAGTTAAAAGATGATTTCAACATAGATGGACGACCTTCAAGGAGCCGGTTTTTGCCCTACGAATGGGCTGAAAGATGCGGCAAAGGTTATCAGTCGACAGACAAGTTCACCACCGACATAAAAACTGATCACGGTCGGAGCAATAGATCATTGCAAGACAAAGAAACGTCAGGTACGTGAGATCCCTCTTATCCCTAGGTATCATAATACAATTTTAATGTCAGTACAACGGAGTTGGTATCAGCTATGAGAAACATCAAAGAAGCGCGGTTCGCGAAGCCGGTGAGGTCCGATCCATGCCAGATGGATCCCAACGTGTAGTGTGAGTATCACGGGACGAATGGACACCGGACTGGGGACTGCCGACACCTACGGGAAGAAGTGGCGACATTACCAAAAAGTGGGCATCTGAGAGAGTTCTTAAGTGACCGGGCTAAGAACAACTACAGTCGCAATCGGGATAATGCGAAACCCTCGAAAGCAGGAGAAGATCCTCCGCGCCAGACAATTAACATGATTTTTTGGGGGAACGAGACTAATGAAGTTACTTTCTCGGCAGCAAAGGAGACAAAGGTATCAATAACCCATAGCAAGATATTCCGAGAAGTTGCCGAAAAAGACATCACTTTTACGGAGGAAGATGCAGACGAATTATTGCTACCACACAACGACGCATTGGTAATTTCTTTAAATGTTCTGGATTTCAAAATCAAACGTGTTCTAGTGGACCTAGGAAGCTCAGCCAATATCATACAATGGAGGGTGTTGGAGCAAGCCAAACTCACCGGAAGCATTGTTCCGGCCACAAAACTCCTTGCCAGATTCAACCTTGGGAGCGTGACAACCCGAGAAGAGATTTTGCTGCCCACGAATGCCGAAGGAGTGATGAATACGACTTTTTTCGAAGTAGTAGATGGCGA